AAATATGACTTCCACATTTGGATTTGATTTTTTAAATCTAGGACAGAAAAGCTAGTCAAACTTTTGCTGCAAAATATTTATTGAGTGTAACTGCTATTACATAAGCACAACATTATGCAAAACTATTACCTCCACATGGTAATGCTACAGACAGATTCAAGCCTGAAGGCTTTGGTTTTACACTTCTAAAAAGTGCGTTCAAGAGGCTTAACTACATTAAGGGCACACTCAGTCTGAAGTTACTTTTCGTTCAGTAACAAAAACTTCACATTCGTTATAAAACCAGGCCTACTCACCTTTGGAATATGAAAGAGGAACTCGAACATGGTTCTTACAAAATAACGTTACGTGTTCCATGAAAGACACATTCACTGCATTCCATCACCTGCAGCTCCTGTGTTCAGTAAGTAGTGTTGGTACTCTATTCTGTGGCCTGAACACCAGCCCCACAATCTGCCAGGCAGCATCATCTGGCACAGAGAACCCATAGCCAGAGAGAAGTGAAAGCACAGAGGGAAAGAAGCAGCCACAGAACTTCTCATTCCCAGCAGAGTCCTGTATTCAAAAAGGTCCACTCAGGGCTAAATATACATTTTCTCCATCTCCTAATCAACATACTGCCTTCTGAACCAAAATCTTCACTTTAAAGCTTAAAAAAACCCAAGTATCTTAAGCGGTTTGTTGTATCCATTTTAGAGTACTGCACTTCTGTTGCCACTACTGTTCCACAAACTGAACTGATGTCAGAAGTCCATATGATTTTCACAAGGTCACCCTGATGATCTTACAATCTTAAAAGTGTTGGAATTCCAAAACAGTTCTCAACACCGTGAATGATAACCACCAGACTGACAGCACTGAGCTTTCAGCTGCTGTTTGCTAACTCAGTATCAAGGGATCACTGGGTGCCCCTGCTGCCAACTTGAACTCTTTCCACACAGTAATGACTACCACCCAGCTGCCAAGACATTCACAATTTGCAGCAGGAACCTTTTACCAATGTGCAGTAACCCCATTTTTATGGACAACTCGAAAAGGGAGCAAAGAAATAAATAGCACAAGAAACCGACTGTAGAACTCTTTAATCCTGTTACAAGTGTCACTCAGAGTTTAGCATGAATTAACATTAATCAGCTCTTTGATAGCACTAACCTTATTCCTTATTCCAGCAGTTGTAGCAATAAGCAAACAACTTGCCTGGACTTTAGCAAAATGACAAAATTGTTCAAATCTGCCATCAAATAAGAGTTTAGACTGATCTCACAGGCAGACATGAACAGCTCAATTCATCATCATAATATCATCAATTCATTATATCAATTGTTTTTATTTTAATGAAAAATATCTCAAAATAGTTTTATAACACTGGTTGATGAAATGTTTAACTAGCTTTTAGTATTTCACAAGTACTAGTTTCTAGGCACTGCTTTGGTTTCTTTGAGATTCTATATTTCAATTTTAAAGAGTCTACCTTTCCTCCTTTGAGTTATTACAGACTCAAATCAGTAAACTTGAGGTTCTTAAAGTTTATTTATCTAGGGATCAACGACAGCTAAAGCAACAATATTCCAAATTGCTTCCATACTGCTGATTTCCTTATTATACAGGGACAACTAATCAGTCCTAAGCTAATGACAGAGTTTAACCAAAACCCATGTTCATACAGTCACCATCTGTAAGAGAAACATAGTCTCAGAAGATCAAGAAGAAAATTTTACTACAAATCTGCTGAATCATTGCAGCTTCCCAAAACATGTTCCCTAGACTGAACAGGACTTTAGTCTCCTCTGTTTTATTAGTCTCACTAATTTTATTAGTTACTAATGAACTATAGTCATATTTGAAGTGATGACAAGTGCTAAACTAAAAGGAAAAAGATCAATATATAAGAAGCTTTTTGGAACAATGGGATGGAAAAAAGATCTGTGCTAGAGTATTTCCCCTGTTATTTGCTTCAAAGAAACCAGACAGACATGTTTCCACACTGAACATGCATTATGAACTGCCACTTGCCTTCTGGCAACATTATCCTCTCTTCTGCTAATAAAACCAAAATCAATTATGTATCTTTGAAAATAAATCTTCCCAACTGCTATGGTTCAAGCGCCTTGCTTTGTACTGTGTCTTTATAGATCATTTATTCTTCTACTTGAGTTGTTCATCATTAAATACTCTTAGCAGGAAAGACTATTTTAAACATAACAATGGCGGTAAAAAACCCACACTGAGGGAACTTATCCTCTCTTGTCAGGTTCTGCTTTAGATGACTAAACCAGCCCAAAAAATTCAGAATTTCATTTACTGTCCCTGTTCATAACATCCAATAATCTGGCAGCTCTCAGATGAGAATTAGCATAATGCATGTTCAGAATCAAGGAATGGGAAAAATGAGACCTCAAACTGCTTCAGGTCAATCTATTGCATAAAATTAATCAATCCTAATCCTCTTCTGATAAAATTAAGACCTTAAGGCTTCTGTTCATAATGCCATGATCAGACAGCTTCCCAATAATATGTGTTATTTGCAGGACATTCCAGAACAAAATCTAAAATCAAGTCTCTAACTACAAGACCAAGATTATAAAAATTCATTTTGAGTGCCTGCAGTCAGAGAAAGTAGACTAAAGAGCCAATCTAATTAAATGGCGGGTTTTTTTTTTCCTTACCAGAACAACTTAACCACAGATCTAGGAATGACAATAAATAAGACACAGGGTAACAAGTTGTCACACATTAGCTACATACAACAGGTCTATGATGGTAACTTATGGAGCTGTAATAACTAGTTATCAATTAAATCAATCACCAAGAATTGTATGAAATATTAATTATGTAAAGAGGAAATGTCTGTCTTGCTTTACTTCACTCATCTTTTCTTATTTCATGCTTCAACAACTTTGTTTAGTTCTGATTATCCAAACCCATAAAATAATATTTTTCTTCTCTATGATGCCTGCAAGCAGAGCATAAGCATGTACAACAAATATTCTGCATGTCCAAAATATCCCTGAGAAGCAGAGACATCTTAATATCATTCTGCATATAAGGAAGAAACGTTAAGATCTAAATTTTCACTCTACACTAATTTTAATTTGTAAAGGTAGCTATGTTTTTCTAATGGTCCTGTGTAATGTAAACACACATATACAATGTGTATCAAACCATAATGAACATAAACATTTAATTAGTTTGTAAACAGCAGTATTTTTGTGCTTTAAAGGTACAAATAGAATGAACCCTCTTGAATAAAAGATAAAAAAAATCAGGAGTTCTAAAGATGTCATTAGTAACAACCAGGGATTCAATCAAGCAAATGCTCTGGGCAGTTCTTCAGAAGTTTCGGAAGTCTGCTGCTCATGTAAATTTAAGGAGCTCTCTAATGTGGGATCTAATGTGCCAGAAAATAATTACCATAAATCAATTCCCCACCTATAATTCAATAAACTACTGCTACCAAATGATAAGCCTTCCCCACTTTCCCAAGGCTCACAGGACTCTCATTTGGGATTCCCTAGCTACAAATACACACCTGTGTGCTATGCAGCACATGGGCAAATCAAATACAACTGGGACATGTATCAGACCAACTGTACATAACACACACAGTAAGTGAAGTCCGTCACAGACAGACTATATAACTACCTTGCATAGTCCAATCTGTCTGTTTCATTGAGCATGGGCTTTTTTGCCCAAGATCCATAGGCATCAAATAATCTCAGACAAACAGCTGATTTCTTATAATGAAAGTTCTGGATGACGAAATGAAAGATATCCAGACACAGTCAGATATAGGGTAGCTAAAGCTCCGCATCTGTCCGTTCACACCTGAGAAACAGTGGAGAACACTTTGCAAACACTCTTTTGCACCACAATAGGAGTTAAAAGGTTTTCCTATTCAGCTCTTCTGCCACTGATAACACAGCATCGAGGTAAAATAATCTAATTTAAGTCAGAGCTGACAATTCGAGAAAAGAAAACAGACTTGAAAATCTCCTATGTTATGTCAATGACAGACAATCATTTCAGATTAATTGCATCTCGGTTTGGGATTGCTTTAGTTTGTGGAGTTTTTTGTTTGGTTTTTTTTGGGGGGGAATAGGAAGCAGTTGGTTGTTTTTCAGTTTTAAGCATACAGTAACACTTGCTGAAGTATGTAATTATATAACAAACAAAGCACATAGAGTAATTTCCCAACAATTTAAAGACATTATGACCTGCCATTCCCAGAAGTCTCTTTAGCTAGTTTTTTAAAATATATCATAGGGAACAAAAACGGTTGACTAACCTGCAGACTTTGCCAGTTTGAGATGTTTGACTGAGTAAGAGACGGAAAAAGAACCACTTTTGAAAACCCAATTTTCTGAGTGATAAATCTATATATTTGACATATTTCAGGAAACAATGAGGACTTGAAGTTCATTGTCAGAAGGTCAAGAATCAAAAAAAAAAAAATTTGGAAATTTCTATCCTTTTCCTTATCACCCTCATCTCTATCAAGTCAGATCTATAGAGAAGTCTGAGGCAGGAAAAATAATACATTTCTAGTAAATCACTTAGTCCTTTCTGACTCCAAAGGAAAAGAAGGATGCTGAATGCACTTCTATTTTTACACACTCATCACATAAAACTGAGCTGCTGAATCACTGTAATTACAATATAATCATATTATTAACTTAATTCTATACTACCATAGAACATATTATGATACCAGTTATTATTACAGTATTGTCTCAATTTATTTGGAACTAAAGGCATTCTTGTAATTTGGGAAAGGGCTAAGTGTCCAAGTAGTAGTCAGTATCCACCAAATTCCCCTGTGATGGGGATGCTGTGTTCTCAACTTTTGCCTTTTTTGACCAGACAAATTAACCCTCTTCATACCAATGTGGGAGATTAGTGTTTCAATAAAAACAACAAAATAACAACAGGAGTAAAATTGCCTGTATCCCATCATCTAGCATAGAACCAGTGATTTTGAAGAGTCAGTAAAAAGCACTTACCACACCGATTCCTTCAAAAGCAAATACTGCAGTCCCAAAAAACAGTGGGTATTTCTTCCAGCCGACCACTGGAGGTAGTTTTCGAGGATCTACTATATCCTGAAGAAAACAAAGCAAAACAGTGTAAAGTACATTAGTTCTCTCTAAAACTTTTTGATTGATGCATTATGTTATAGGAAAGATAAATAGCAATGTTGACATTGCTATTTATAATCCCTGGTTTCCCTCCCAAACTTAGTCCTTTACACACATTTATAGCCACCTTCCCACACAAACACTTGCAGATACATTTATTCTAGGTTTCTACTACTGTCATGAAAAAATTTCACATTTAAAGTATCACACTGTTGTATATGAGGGAGCATCAATTAAAGCACATGGGAAAGTGCACCTATAAAGCTTAATCTTCTGCAAACTTCTGAATTTTCTAATCTGCTTTCATACTGCACAGATATTCTTCATAACCATGAGGGACATTAAAAGGAAATATCTTTATTACAAGCTGAGTTCCTGCAGAGTAATTAATTACTATCTTCCCCAATTTTTTCTACATAACTTCTCCTGCCTCCTCGTCAATATCTCTTATTGCCTTCCTCCCCATTTTCCACTTCCCACTCACCAAAATATATATTTTTATTATCTTAAATGCAGCAATATTATTCTTTCTTTCAAAAGCACTGTAAAAGTCTGTATTTAGAGCATATTGCAGATTTTGAGGCACCTCCTTAAATTAAGATGCCTCAATTAATTACATGATAATGCTGCCTTTCAGAAACTGTCAGTCAGTGTATATCTATCATAGACCAACTGCCACATGCAACAAACACAACTTGCCAACTGAAAAAACCAGATAATAAACTTTATATACTCACTCTAACAATATACTGGTAAATGATCACCAGGCTGACAGCCATGGACAGATTGGCAAGCAATGAAAGCAAGGACAGGCTCTTAAGGTCACGAATAAAGACCAGGAGGACCAGGAATGGCAGGAAACACAGCATGTATATTCGTAAATCAATATTCCTCTTCTCAGACGAACTAACATTCGTGGCACTAACATTCATGGGAGCAATCTTAGCTTCCAAGAATCCTTCATGGACCTTTATTTAAAAATAAAAAAAAAAAACACAACAAAACCCAAAACAAAACAAAACAAACAAACAAACAAAAAAACCAAAGCAAAAAAACACGTTAGACAGTGGTAGTAGTGAGTATATAGTCACACTGCTACTTTCCTACTGGGAAATTTGTTCCTCTGCTTGGTGAATGACAGGAATTTTGAGATGCCTGGTACTCTCGATGCAGAGGGGAAGACAAGGCACTTCTAGCAAGCCTTAAGGCAAATGATGAAATCAGGACTTCAAAGCATCATTATCCCACCACAGACTAAAGTGGAAATCCACATCCACAGTTTTGACCAGATTCCTTTCAGAAAGTTTGGTAAACTGAAAGCAAGCAAGACAGAACTGGGTCTTAATCTTAAGAGTGTGAATCTTCCTAAGGAGAGTAAGGGGGTTAGATGACAAACTGCTATTGCACCCAAGTTCAGTGCCTAACAACCTGATGCCTTCGCCATGCACGATAGCAGCATACATACAAAATGTTAGAATATGAACACGTCCGTCTTTCATTTATTTCAAATTTTTTTTCACTCTTTACTCTTTTATTTATGAACATTAACTCAGCTTTAAAAACCATGAGCTCTAGGAGAGCTGAGAGTTCTGTACTCATTATATTGATATAAATTAACAGTAGCACACAATGCGAAAGTGTAGTAGGTTTTTTGGTACATAATTCACAGGCATGGTCCCAAGACTGATTAATTTAAGGGCAATTCTTTCAATATGGTTTGTTCTTTAAAATATCAGTTATTCTCTGTGACAGTGAAATAATAAGATCATAGATTCTACTTCAAAAATCCAAACACATCAAGCTGTTAAATGAAAGGGGCAAGTACTACCATTAAAATGTTAAGTTTTTGTTTAACCACAGCATTCCTAAGCAAACACCACAACTACCAGTACTTAATGAAATTTTTTATAGGTCAGAGTAACTCAGGGCTATTAATTTTTTACTTTGAAGAAGAGGGTGAAATGAAGAAATGAGGACAGGCTGGTGAAATGGCAGGTAATCAAGGTAATGTGGGTACTATGAGACTATCATGAGGAGTTAGTTGCTAATGGAAACCCAAGTGTATATAAACCAAGTCATTCAACCTGGCAAGTTCACAAAAACTCAGACTTTACAAGTCTAGCAGAAAAAAAATTTTGCACAATTCACCTTATTTCCATTGTTTCAAACAATCCAAAAACTCAGGAAGACAGAATGAACTTAAGATCATTTTCTCTGTAACAAAAAGCATCATGCACTTTTTTTCCCAATATGAAAAAGGGAAAGAAAAAGATACAATTCTGCAACCACATGTTTTCCAGACATCTCACTTTAAATGAAAACAGACACTGGACATTATGGAAACACTGATGGTTTCCACTTAGCAAGGATCTTAAGTTTAGTCCCTTGCATGACAAGTAAAATCTGTTAGTTTTCATTAAGATAACATTTTTAGAAAGCTACAAGAAGTGCTAATTGCATTTAGAATTGAATTCACAGAACTACAAACCCTCTACTTTGCCAACCAATAATTCAAACACTTAACCAAATTACTTCCCTAATGCCACATAAGTTCTCTGTAGAAGTTTACAGCATTCCCACCATACTTAAAACAGAAATATAGAACAAGCACTTTAAGCCTTTCACTTTAACAAGTCTCGTGTGTTTACTTGCTTGCATGCATTTGCAGATAGCCAGAGCTTCTCTACACTCAGGGACACATAAAAGAGTTTTCTAAGAATCACAGTATGATTTGAGCACACAAACTCAATTGAAAACCTCCTCTACAATAAAGTTAACCCAGCATGCCTTCAATTTATACAAATACCTGATAAGCTATTAGAAAAAAATTAATAAAATATTTATTCCTTAAAAAACACAAACCAAACCAAACAAAAAAACACCAGGCAAGATACAGTTCAGGCTCTAAAATACATCTGTAAAATACCACAGTATAAACCAGCTTCTCCTCAAATAATTTCAATCATTCAAACACTTCAATTTTTTTCTTAAGACAGAGGCATTCCCTTAGTGTACACAAACTCTAATAAAAAGTGCCTGAAGTCAGAAATTTTTTTCTATTAGCATCACCAAATTCCAATTAGATATTCAACTGGAGTTTACTGGCTAATACAGTCGGAAAATGCAAGGTACAATATAAAATTCTATTCAAGTTTCGCTCTACTGTGATCAGCTACCCTGATGAAGGAGGTGATCATATCTCCATCTGCCTTTTACTTTCACAAAAATACTGAGGAAAGCACAGAGAAAGAACATACTACAGCTGCACATAAACTCTCCACAACCTTCATTAGATGACTGAATGTTGATGCAGAAAGGGCAATAAAACTGCCTCCCTGACCCCAGTTTACCAACTCCCCTTGCACCCCTAAGATATGAGATGTATTCCTGCAACAAATCACAACACTGTATTCTGCTTTACAATACGGCAAGCATGGTACCCCTTTTCCTGCACTGTTCCCTGGCACAGCATTCACTGGAGGAAGGAAATGGGGTCAAATGGATTCTCAAGAATGTCATGAGTTGCAGGAGTCTGCTGCAGATCCTGTTCCTTGCAATACAGTTTAAAGAAAGAAGTCAGGGCATCAAAGACATCCTAGCTGGGAGAGAAAAAAAAAAAGAAAAATGAAATTCTGAACCTAAGCAGCACAGATTAATATTTTGCATAAACCAGATTTGCAATTACAGCTGTCTTTAGTCCGAGCTATGAAAAGCATGTGCTTCTTGTGTGTTTTTAACACAAAAGCTGCAATTCTAGGGGAATAAATGCCAGTTCCACAAAATACACAAAGTGTTCCTCTGCCCTTTCCTCTCTTCTACACCATCTCTCATTTGAGTCACTTTGCCTTGTCAAGTCTCCTACCAACTAGACAAAACACCGTATTCTCAACAATCTTCTCCATTACCTCATCCAAAACCAGGGGTCTGGAGTCAGTGAATCATAGAATAACTTAGGTCAGATAGGACCTCAGGAAGTTTATAGTCCAATAGCTTGCTCACAGTTCTGTGAGCTACGGCATCAGATCAGATTGTTCCTCTCCCCATTCTCCAGCTGGGTCTTGAAAACTTCTAAGGATAGATAGAGACTGCACAACCTGTCTGGACAACTGGTTCCAGTGCTTGACTGTATGGAAGTTTTTCTTTCCCTCAGAACAGAAATTCCTGTGCTGTTCTGTGAATGGTTTCTCTTGTCTTGTCATTTGACCTCAGTAAAGAACTTCATTCCATTTTCTAGACAACCTCTTTGTAGTCCTGGGGAGTGGCTTTTAGGTCCTCCAAAAGCCAGTTCTTGTCCGACCTGAACAAGCCCAGTTTCCCCAGCCCTCACAAGACAAATGCTTCAGCGCCAGCAATTTCAGCAGGCTCCCTTGAACTCACTTCACTTTGTCAATGACTTCCCAGTACTAGGAATATCCAAAACTTGATAGAGTATTTTAGATATGGCCTAACAAATGTGAAGCAAAGGATGACAATCACTTCCCTTTATCTACCAGCAATCCTTCTTTTCATACAACCCAGGATGCTGTTTGTTTGCTTTGCCGTCACGCCACACTGCTGGCTCATGATCATGAACACTGCTCTCCAAGTCTGACCACACAACCAGTGGTTTTTTTCTCCCAGCCAGTTGTCTGTCAGTCCACCCATCTATCCAGACCATAACAACCTTACTTAGATACAAATTTATTGTCAGAGACAGCATGAAAAACCTTGCTATAAACGTTTATAAAGTAGCATCTAGTGATTTCTCATCATGTACAAATTCAGACTTTTTTTCTTACAGAAGGCAATCAAGTTGGTCAGTCCCTTGGTAAATCCATGCTGACAGGTTCCAGTCACTTTATTCTCCCTCATGTGCACAGAAACACACGCCAAGAAGTCTCAGTTCCTGATTTTCAAAGGGATTGAAGAGGCTGATTGGTTTGTAATTCTCCAAATTATTCTTTTGGCTTTTAATAAAGATAAACTCAACATTTGTCTCTCTCTGGTTCTCAAGAACCTCTCCAGTCTGTAAGGTCTTTCAAAGACTTCAGGTTTCTCCCAGTACTCTTAGATACATCCCAGTTTCCCTCTTTTCTTTTTGTCTTCAGAGGACAGCAGTGACACTGCTTTAACCAGATTTTGACAGTATAAAGCAGGTAATTTCTTACTCTCTTCCCATCTTTGTTCTGTGTGGTCACAGCTGGCAATGTATAAATGTATTTTGTAACTCAAATGGAACAAACCCTTTTTATTTGTGATAGCCTTCACCCTAATGAGATCGGACCAATCCCTGAGGATTACTCTGCTGTAAGTCTTTAGAAATATATTTAAAAACAAAGAAAAGTAGAGCCCTTTCTGAAACAGTCCTGTTTACCAATGTCTATCCTATGGAGAATTATGGATTGGAATAGAGAAAAGAACACATGAAATGGTTAGTTAAGTTCCACTTACTCCCTAATAACTGCTGAAAGTGCACACACTTATCCCACACAGACTATTTTAGAGATTAGTTTGCCATTGGATGAAGAGGTTACTGTGAATTGAAACACTGCTAAAAACAGCACTACTGGCTTGGGTAAGCAGGAGGTTCCTGAAATTTACTTTGCACTGGCTATTACTTGCATGCATCAAAATGTGAAGCCCATGACTTCAAAATTAATATTTCAATTTGCTTGCCAAAAAAAAAAAGAAACTTTTTAAAGTTTCAACTGTTGACTGTCAAACTGTTTTAATTATGTCCATTATACACAGGTGAATTTTATGTATACACACACACATATATACTGTGTAACTCATATTATGGACACAGTTATACTGATATAAATGCACAGGAGGACAGTTTATTCCCTTTTGTGGACATATATACCTTTAAACCAACTTTATATCAATAGAGCAGCTTTAACAGCATCAGTCAGAGCAGTACCACTTACGGGTTTAGACATGGCCACAGGAAATACCCCTCAAAGGTGTATTTTGAGACATGAAAGAA